TTTTTTTTTTTTTTTATTCTTAAAATCAGAGTTAATTTATGATATATTTATAACGTTAAATTTATTCAGTTAAATTACGATCTTTTCTTAAAAGAAAGTAGTAATATGATAGATTATATATTAATATCTTTATTGACAGGTGTATTTGATGCCTGCCTCCCCGACCAGCAGCACTCGCTTCGCTCGTGCCGCAAATGTCGGGGGCAGGCATCAATTTTTTTCAACGCAATTTTTAACGTACTTTCGACCGCATAGTAAGAAAACTAGTATACACTACATGGGCAGAAATTTGAGAGCCCTGAACTGCGTGCCATGATGCCCTCGGCTTCGCCTCGGGCATATGGCGCGCAGTGCAGGAATCTCAAACTTTCTGCCCTTGTAGTGTAATATACTATTTTAATTTTCTTAGCGGAAAGTTACAAAGTGTACTTACCTTCCCATTAATATCACTTGAAATAATGAGATGTTGATACGGCTGGAGGTGCTGACGCTTGAACTTAGGCTTAAACCGAAAAGTCCCGTCGATATTTATTTGAGAGCCATCGAAGTAATTGAGATATTCAACATTGTAAAATGCTAAGCATTGATTAAAAGTATCTCCAAAATTTAGAGTCATCATTTGGTAGGAAACCTTGGCACCTTGCTCATTTGCGAGAGTATATTTTAAATACTCTCTCCCTCTAGGAGAAGTCACAAACTCGGTAAAAGCTAAAAAGCTTACTGGGTTATGTGGCTGATTTCCCCGAAAATCACGACCCATTTGACTTCTCACTGTTTTATAAGGAATTTCTTGAGCTGCCACAGGATGTCTATAAAATGAAATGATTACAATTAATATTAATAGTTATTTGGATTCACTGGCTATTATTAGTAGATTTCATAGAAATCTAACTATTGCAATGGTCCTCATGACGAAACTTTTGAAAAATTTTGCTATATTCCGAATTGACTCGACGAGCTGAGTCAGAAAATACATATGGTTCAAAAGTTTATATATGTATGTATAAAACAAAATAATAATTAACAAGGTAAAGAATACTTACTTCTCGATTAAATTGTCGTATTCATTAGATAATGGACCAGCTAATGGCATTGCTTTAGCACGGACCTTTAAATCGACCTTAAGAGCATGAACTTCTAACAAATTTTCCTGCTTTGGACAAGACTGCTTATGCTCTTTTAAGGGAATAATAGTTTCTGAATTATCAGGATGCTTGATTAAGCGAGCAGAACCTCGACATCTGTAACCAGGACTTTTTTTATTTGAACGCTGGTTGCATTTGATGTATCTAAGAGCATATAAAGAATTAGTAGTTAGCAAAATTTCAACATAAAGAAAAGAAAAAAAAAACCAAATACATACCAGCAATTTTCAGATGACGGTGAATGAATGTTATAGGTATGTCCGTTAAAATTTTTTGTATTAGCAGCTCGTATTTTCCGTTGAAAAGCCATGGTGATACTGACGCTAGATCGTTGATTGTTCTATACCTACCTTTTTCTCTAACGCGATGATCTTTTGTTTAAAATAACAAATGAATGAAGCACGTCTCGGGTAATTTGGAGCACTCATATTGCCCGGAATTTAAAAATCTTAATAAAATTAATACACTGGGTAATTTGGAGCATTCATATTGCCCGGAATTTAAAAATCCTTATAAAATTAATACACTGGGTAATTTGGAGCATTCATATTGCCCAGAATTTTGAATTTTAGTTTTGAGGAGGTTTTTGCAATAATTCTAATGATTTAAATAATTTAAACATCTAATTTCTAATGCATTTGAAAATTATAAGATTGTGAGGGTACAGGGTTTGAGTTTTTCGACGGATGGTAAGGATGTTACGTCGAATTAATTTTATTTTCATGTTGCCAACTTAAATTTTTATTTTACGCCATTTTGATTGGGTAATTTGCGTCATACCCGATCTTTTCCCGTCTTTTGATTATATTTTTTTCAAATTTAGAACTGCCTTCGCCATCTCCTGGCCGTCTGGATAACTTTTTAGTTGTTTCCGTGTTTTTCCGGACAAACACTTCGTACCATTCGTCGCTAGTGCCGCTAACACTTACTATAGCTTAGATTGGCACCATTGTTACTAATGGTTACTAACAAAACATTTCCCGCGTACTTGTCGGCTGGTTATTGTCAATCACGTTTTGTCAACTGTAAACTATAAACGTATAACCTGCAATTCAGTGTTTTCTTATAAAAAAAAAAAAAGGTAAATGATCATAATCATTAATAATTAATAAATTTTCAATAAAATATTAATAGTGCAATTGATGTTTGAAATTAATAAATTATTTTCTATATAAACAGGATTAATAATGTGGGGAAATGATTCAACATCTGAAGGCGGAGGTGGTGGCGGTTTCATGGACGAAAGCTACTCCACCGCTACTCCTCAAGCTGATCGTGGAGAAACTAAACGTAGCAATAATGTCATACCTTTAATGATCTCGGATGTCCACAAATCTGGAAGACATGGTAAAACCATTTGGGGAAAAGGTCTCAACGTTATTTGCGTCGTTGGTTTGGTCAAAGAAATTTCGTCACAAACGACTAAGATAGGATATAATATCGAAGATGAAACTGGTAATTTTTATGATACTGAAATTAGCAGACACTTGACAATTTTTTGGTTTTTCTTAAGAAATATATTAGGTCTAAAAAATTATTTTTAAATAATTGCATTTATAATTTTTCAAAGCTAAAAATTTCTAAAGATAAAAATTTTTAAATGAGTTTTTTTTAGTATAATTTGTTTATCAAAAAAATTCTAAAAATTATCAGATGTCTCTCAATTTCAGTATCATTAATTTTTTTATTTTTCAAGATAATGATTCGACAAAATGTATTTTATTAATTATTTATCATTGGACATTTTGTTTATCACTGTGCTGATAAATTTTTTACATTGTCACAGGTACAATAATGGCGTTTAAATGGCTCGAAGCAGAAAGTATTCCGCCTGAAGGAATAGAAGTAGGAATGTACGTGAAAATTCATGGGACTATAAGAGAGCAAGGCGGTGACAACTGTCATGTTTTTGTCATGAAAATAAGGCCCGTTAAAAAATACGCTGAGGTGTTTTCTCACCTGTTGGAAATTATTTCAATTAGTGCAAACATGAAATATCCTAAAAATACCTTGCACGGTAAAGGAGTTGAAGCGCCGACTGGCAACAAAGCTGAAGATGATGATATGAACGATGATATTTGCCATGGTTTAACTAATGAACAAAAAATTTTATACAAAATAATTAAGAGTCACGATTCTGAAAACGGTATCGAGCGAAATTATTTAAAAACTCAGGTACCTAAAAACTTGGAAGCTAAAGTTGATGTAATGCTGGACTTCCTTGCGTCTGAAGGACATATTTACACAACTTGCAACGATGATTTCTTCAAAGCTACTTAAAAAATATTTTTATTTGTTTTTCTACTTTCAACAGAACATTACTCTTGATTTTATGAAAAGGTCGAGTTTTATAAACGTATTTGGTAATAAGTATATAAAAAAGATTTCGAGCAAATGCTGGAAGATTTTTTAGTTTGCATAGCAAGTCAAGTGATATAATTTGTATTAATAAACTTCGGTTTACTGAGAAAGGATCAAAGCAGCGATAATAATTCATACATCGTATCTAAGTAAAACTTATTGTAAAAGTTAAGATTTTTCTCAGCTACCAATTAAACTAATTTTCTTTGTACTTATTACAAATAATTTTATAATACTTCCGAAGAATTGTCGAGGGTAGAGATTCAAAAACTTTTTATGTTATTGGTTAAATTATTTGTAATACACTCAATCACTTAAAATAAAGTCTAAACTTTGTATATTTCTGTCCTAAAAATATTTATTAACTACATTAATTTTAACTATCTAAAAAAGATGAATATTTTATGAAAATTAAGTTAGCCGACATTTAAAAATTTTTAGAATTATTTTTATTGAAAAATTTATTATAAAAAAATTAAAAAAAAAAAAAAATGTCACTTGTAAAAAAACTTCAAAAACTATAAGTGATATTTTTTAAAAATAGTTTTTCGTATTAATTTTATTATTAAAAAAAATCAAATAATTAAAAACTTCGGCTAACTTTAGTATCATGAATATTTTTACGATTTAGTGTAATAAATTATTACTATTAATTAAAATTATTCTTAAGAAAAAAAAATGTTCTTATTAGGAGAAAGTTGATACTAACTTTTACTTAAAAAAGTGAATTAATGATACATTTCAATTTAAGTAAGATAATTTTAATTAAGTTATAAATTAAAAAAAGAAAACATTCACTTTTTTTCGTAAATTTATTCTTAATTTTAATTGATAAATTATTTAAATCCATTTTATAATTTAGATTAGTATACAGAAAATTAAGTAAAAATTTCAAACGAATCGATAATTAATCATTGAAATAAATTAATATTTAAGTTAGATTTCATATTTATATAGACATTTCAATTTTGTAAACTAAATGAGCTTAATTACCGGAAATTTCCTAATAATATCACAAAAAGTACATTTTTAAAGGAGATTTAAAAGTAAATTACAAAATGACCTCTTTAAATGAGTTACATAATTCCATAATCCTTCAATTTACCCACGTTATCATTTACATAAGTACTTAAACTAATTAAAAGAAAATCAAACAATAAATTATAAACTATTGTAATTTATTCCGCTCTAATTTTCAATTAATTTTTCTTCTCCGATTTAATTAAACAAACAAGCAGACCTATCTCCATTAGTTCAACTATTTTCTCTTTTTTTTCATCACAAGTTTCATTTGCAAAATCACATCTGAAAAAAAAATGTTAACTATTAAATAAAAATAGAAAACTTCGGTCCTTTGAATGTTAAACAACAAACAAGCCGCTATTCAGCAATTGTCATACATATATTCAATGTAACGAATAAAAACAATTGTAATTGTAATTGTAATAGAAACAAGACAAGTACTAATATAAGTGACAAAGTGACTACACCATAACTTATTATATGTTCTTATACATAATATTTGAAAAGTAAAAAACTAAACAAAAAATAAAATCACAGGCGCAGTTTATTGCGCAGTCTCCAACTTCGATTTCAGGTGTCGCATTTCTTGAATTAAATTCATTTCAACGTATATATATATATCAGTCAGTACTCCAAGTATTTTAGTGTAAATTCATAAATACAATATAAGTATTTTATTATATATAAATTTAAATAAATATATTTATACACAACATATATTAAATATATATCAAGATCATGATTAACTAATGTTATGCATACATAGATCGTAGGTATTAATTGTAACTATGACACTATGAATTATATTTTAGTGCGCGGTAGATATTTGTGTATATGTAGATGTATATACACACTGATGTTTGACGGATAAATATAAATGTGTGAGTTAATTTATTTATAAGTATATGTACTCAGCGTACAAGTGCACGATATACATACCACATACATATATTTAAACAACGAAATGAAGCAACTTTTAAGCGACTAAGTATCGTGGTGTCGTCAACTGCGTATAGTTTGTTCGACAAATACATATGAGTAAAATAATTATGCTCGCGATAACGTACGCAAGAACGTCATCAGTGCACCGTAATACAACTTTAAATATCACTGGAATAGGTAATTTACTTTTATTAATTAAATTGTACTCATTTTTTTAATTAATTATGAATTGTCATGTGCTTATGTATTTTGTTTATGTGTAGTATGTATCCTGTGTATAAAGTGACTCCAGTGCTATGTACTACATAAAAGTTGGACTTTTAAATTAATCATATGTAATAAAAGTTGTTGCTGTCTAATGTTTTGATCTTTGACACTTTATTGTCAAGTGCCGCGCCTATTTGTCACCTTACATTTTTATTATTATTTATTTAAAATCTTAAATAAGAAATACAAATATGAGTTGGGTAAAGAACAATGAACAAGTTTTGTTAAATAACCTATAATTTTATGACAACGTACATACAATAATAATTTTAATTATATTTGTTTATAAATTAAGTAAGATTTTCTTCTTAAAAATTATTTTTTTTTATATTGTATAACTTTTTTTTTAGTAATTGTAAGGTCAAATTTATTTGTGTGATAATTATTTATTGTTAACTCGGTATAATTGACTTAAAGTTAATTTGACAGTTTAATTGTTAATGACATTAAAGTTAGCAGTTGCTTGACAGGTTTTTGATTTTTTTAATTAATTTCTAAAAAAATGAAAATTAAGTTAGCCGACATTTAAAAATTTTGAGAATTTTTTTTTATTGAAAAAATAATAACGAAAAAATAAAAAAAAAATTTCACTTGTAAAAAAACTTTAAAAACTGTATATAAGTGTAATTTTTTGAAAATATTTTTTTTTTTTTCTAATTTAATTATTAAAAAAAATATCAAAACATTAAAAACGTCGGCTAAATTTAGTATCATTCTAAAAAATTGGATTTTTTATTTTTTTTTAATTTTCTAAATGTCTTTTCTAATTCTTTTTTTCTACTAATTTTTTTCTAAAATTGTGAGAAAATGAGAAATTCTAATTTTTTTTTCTCATTTTCTTTGACATAATTTATTTATTAAAAAAATTCTTAAAATCATAAAATGTCTGCTAAATTAATTTTCATTAATTGTTATTATATTATAAAACAAAAGTTTTATTTAATTATTGACCTGGAAGTTTAATATGTATTGATTGGTCACTTTTATCGGACAGATTGGTGTAGAAAGTTTTTATGAGTATGTTAATTAGTTAAATAATTATAATATTAATGTTAATTTATTTTCTAGGATGCAGCGAGGTCAGTTGAAGGACCTCTCGTCCTGGATGGCTCGACTATTACCAGAGCCGTTTGACAAGACAGATACATTAAAGATGTTCAGTTCTAAATCATCAACATCCACTAGCACATTTTACACTGAATTGGAAGACGAGGAAGAAGCTACTGACAACAATGAAGATAGTTTAAAGGCGCAAGAACAAGTACAACAATTAAATAAGAGTAATCACAATAACTTGAGGGATTCACAATCATTGGAGCGACAAAGTGCAACAAGTGATGATGGAAATTCGCAAGATTCTGACTCAGTTATGGGTTCAGATGAGCACCAGCAGCAACAGCAGTTACAACATAAACAATCATTTACCAGTCATTCATTTCCGCGAATTAGTTTTAGTGGGTTTCCAAGGTTTCAATCGTTTATTATGTCTACTTCAGGCTCAGAATCTACAGACAGTATTACTACCCAAGAAACATCTTCTATCGTTCAAATGACCCACAGTGTTTTGGAGTACAGGTCTAGCAGGTATTTTTATTGATTACCTTATTAAGAAAATTATATTCTTTTAGATCTTTAATAATTAATACATTAGTTATATTTCCTGCTGTCTTTTTTTATGAAGGTTAATGATTGATAATTCTCTGATTTATATTTACTATAGACTATAAACTAGTATTATTTATTATCTATGAATTGCATCATTCTTGGCATAATTTTTTTTTTTTTACAATTCTAAACCAATGTCAATAAATGTGGTTTCTATGAAAGGCTTTGAATCGAGTGCTCAGTGATAAAAAAAATCGATAGCAGATTGTAGTATCAGATATAAATTGAATAAAGTGTCTTTTTCATTAAACGCTTGAATCAATAATTTATTTTTAGCTTTGAATAATATTTGAATATTTTTTTTTAAATCAAATATCGCGTGCCTAATGCCAAAAGGGCGGATAAAAGTTATACGCCCTTTTGGCTTTAGAACACTGAAAATTTAGTGATCTAAAGCCAAAAAAGCGTATAATTTTTAACTTCCCGTTAAGAAAATTAAAAATTTTCTAAAAGCGGGAAGTTATTGATTTTATCCCGTTTTCTGAAAATAGAGTTTTCATCAGATCTACTTATATTCAGCTATACTCAGCTCAAAAAATTTTTTAACGATTAGTTAATAATTTCTTACTTATAATCAGATGTTTTTCATTCAATATATACATATATATTATGGATTTTAACTAAAATTTTATGCAACGAATAAGAAGGAAATTTATAAAAAATATAAAATTTTAGTACGCGAAAAAATTTTTAATTCATATCGATGGTCTAATTAGCAATTTGTCTAACTCCTTATTTTTTAGAGGGTGATTTTTTAACATTTTGATGTAGCCATAATCGAATTATAAATTATTTGAATGATTCAAACCTAAATATTATATCTCTATTAGATAATAATAATATTAAATGGTTTTTTAAAGTGATAATAAATTTTGAGCTAATTGTTTTTTTCGTACAAATAGAAGATTCTCTAAAATAGAGTTAGACAATTTGCTAATTAGAACGTCGATATGCATCTTTAATCATTGGACTGTCCAAAATGATGAAAATTTAAATTTACTACTATCGAAAATGTTGATTTTTTCAAAATTTTCTTTTTTTCAAAACTTTTCTCCGGAAAATTTTGAAGACTGTTTTTTTCCTGATTTTTTTTATACGCTCTTTTGGCTTTAGACCGATAATTTCCTAAAGCCAAAAGGGCGCATATCTTAAGATACACCCTTTTGGCGTTAGTACGTCAAAAATTTTTTTTCTCCCCTCCGTGCGGAAAGCGTCAATTTTCTGCTTGCTGCGCTAAACGAAAATGCCGCTTTCCGCCTCCGTCGAGGAGAAAAATAGTATTCTCACCACGGGCAGGAAATAAGAAAGCCTCAGATCACATGTTTATCGACCTCGGCTTCGCCTCGGTCAACAATTACATGTAATCTGAGACATTTCTTATTTTCCTGCCCCAGGTAAGAAAAATACTATTTCTGCAGATCTTTCCGTTTCGAGCGATTCTAAAAAGAATGTAATACGCCCTTTTGGCATTAGGCACGCGATAAATTAATATTAATGAAATAAAGTTTTAGAAATATTTAAAAATTTTAATATTTTTTTTATTTTCTGATCTTATGAATGCTCTTATAGTTATATTAATAACTAATCATTAGATTGCACGAGCCATAAGCTTCTTTTATTACAAAAACTTTAAATTAACTACAGCACGTGTGGATATTATTATACCAGTATATGTTTATAAATAACATATAATAATAAAAATAAAAATAATAACAATTTGTTTTGTTTTGTTTTGTTTTGTTTTTTGTCAGGTATGTGACAACAAAGAGAAGCTCAAATCAGTATACAATTGACTCATATCCAGTAAGTGAATCAGAAAGTGAAGAAGAGTCTGAAACACGTTCATCTGAAACAGAGTTTACAATAGCTACAGACGAACCCGAAGAAAATAATATACCGTCCGAAAAAATAATAACTACTTCTAAAGATACAAATGACGTAAAACGTAAACGAGCTAAAAAAGTAGCCGATGAATTATTAGCTACAGAAAAAACATATGTTAATATATTACATTTAATAGATCAAGTATTTCAATTTAGAGTCGATCAAGAGAATCGCGCTCATCCAATGTTTCCTCCTGATACTGTACAACAAATATTTTCAAATATCAAATCTATTTATAAATTTCATAATGATTTTTTATTGCCACAATTAGAAGATAGAATGAAAATATGGGACGAAGACTCGCGTATCGGTGATATTATGAAAAATTTTGCACCATTTTTAAAAATGTACACTGAGTATGTTAAGAATTTTGACCACGCTATGAATTTAATTCATACGTTACAACAAAAAGTACCGAGATTCGCTGCTATTGTTAACGAAATACAAAAACTTGATGTCTGTGCCAAACTATCACTCACCCACCATATGCTTTGTCCAATACAAAGGCTACCTAGGTATGAATTATTGCTAAAGGATTATTTAAAAAATCTCACCGAGGATAATCCCGATTTTTTAGATACAAAAAGTAAGTCTTTTATTTTATTATAATCTTATTTAATTTTATTAACAGAAAATTAATTTATTTTTTTTTTCTTATAGAGGCATTAGAACTAGTTTCAACAGCAGCGAATCATAGTAATGAAGAAATGAAAAAAATAGCTAAATTTAAAAAATTATTAGAAATACAAGAAAATATATATGATCCCTTGGATCTAGTCAGTGCAACGAGAGAATTAATTAAGGAAGGTCGTATTGTTAAAATTTCAGCGAGAAGTGGAGATCATCAAGATAGACACTTATTTTTAGTAAGTAAATAATGTTTTTTTTTTTTTTTTTTCAACAAAAGTTTAAAATTACATTTCAGTATTCAATTAAGGGGGATAGCTACTGTGAGGATCGAAAAAATAGGTGATTTTCGGGAATTTTTTTGACGGATAATGGAGGAATTTCGGGATCGGGTTTTTTTTTGTTTTATAAAGTATACATTAAAGATTATTCTCCTAAATTTTTATCAAAAAATATCATGTTGTTACAAAGTCATTAGCATTTTTGTGGAGCACCAAAAAAATTTCTCCCTTCATGATGCGATCTCTAACTCAAAAACAGATTATCTAAAACAAAAAAACGAAAGAACGTTGTAATCTGCATGCATGTGGTTATCGTTGCACGTAGGGGATTTTGAAAATTTGGATTTAAAAAAAAATGGCGACATATTAAAAATTTTTTCGTTTTTTTTTCTCATTTTTTTGGATTCAAACAACCCTGAAAAATTTTAAAAATCAAAATTTCCAAAATCCCCTACGCGCAACTATAGCTACTGAATAGACAAATACGGGGAAAAAAAAAGTTGCAAATCGGTTCATATTTATGCAAATTACAGTTCTCATCAGTTTAAAAAAAATAGTTTCGAGAAAAACGCATTTTCATCGGAGTGCCGCGCGTGTAAAGTCATTTGACGCGCTGTCACAAAAATAACTAAGATAAAAGACCCCATTAGTGGCACCTTTAACCCCTATTAGTGGCACTTTTTCTTTCAATGAAAAAATATTCTACTAGGAATAAAAATAAAAAATTTTTTTAATCCAAAGGTCTTAAAGATTAGAAATAATATATTAATTATTGAAATTAATGATTTAATTAATTGAATAAGTACCAAAATCAAAGAAAGTGCCAGTAATGGGGTCTTTTACCCTATAACTCGGAAAATATTCGGAATTTTAATACCAAACTCTAGATACATATTTTTGAATCTATAAACTTGGATTTAATAAAAAAAAAAAAAATTTTTTTTTTTGAAATTTCACAGTGGCTATCACCCTTAAGTTTAAACATAAATTAATTTTTTTTATTGACTCAGTTGTTCATTTAATGACTTGTAATTTTTATTAATAGAATGTATTTATTTAACACAATTAAATCTCAATATTTTTTTATTAAAAGAATTTTATTTACAGTTCAGTGATATATTACTTCTATGTTCTATAAGACTGATACCTGGACCCTTGTATCGACTGAGAGCAAAATTTTTGATAGAAAATTTAGACGTTATTGAAGGCGACAACTTAGAAACAGCTAATACATTTTACCTAAGAGATTCCAATAAGAGTGTTGAATTATATACACATTCAGCGGGTGAAAAAGCAGCTTGGCTTGACGCTTTATTCCAAACAATGCAAGAAATAATGAGGCGAAAAGCCAGTCTAAAAATAGGCAACGAAAAAACTTCTCTTGTTAAAGCTGACGACGTGACAAGATGTATGGTTTGTGAAGCTATTTTTTCAGTTATGAAAAGAAAACATAATTGTCGCGCTTGTGGTATCGTACGTATCTATTGAATCTCTAGTTTATTTTCTTTACATCAATAATTAATAGAAGTAATTGAAATCACTAGAATTTTTTGAATTACAGGTAGTATGTAGTAAATGTTCAAATCAAAAATTGTTATTCGAAGATAATAAAAATATGCGAGTATGTAGACTATGTCACGCTGCACTTACTCAGCCGTTGAGTAAATCTCCATCGTCACCCCCAGGACCAGTACCAAGTCTTCTTCATGTGTCAGCCAATGCTCCATGTGTTTTATCTGGTTATTTATTATTAAAAACACAAGCCAGCAAGCCCTGGACGCGGAGATGGTTTGCATTGCACTCAGATTTTGTTCTTTATACATTTAAATCCGATTCTGAAAGTCTCGCGTTAACTGCGACGCCAATGCCTGGTTATACATTAACAGAGGGTAATGAATTGCCAGACTATGACCCGCTTAGTCAACGGGATAGAAAAGGATCCTTTAAAATTTATCATTCCAGAAAATGTTATTATCTTCAAGCTTCAAGTTTTGAAGATAAAGAAAGGTAATTTTATTTTTTAAATTATTTATTTTATCGTACTGTTATTAATGAGAGTACTATTTTTTATAAATAAATAGGTGGACGCATGCCTTAAGTTTAGCAACCAAGGCAGAGTTACCTCATCCAGTGACTGAAGAAGACAAAGATACCGAACAAAGTCAATAACTAGCTAATTTAATTATTAATTTGAATTAAAGAAAAAGAACATCAAGTGATAGTTAATAATTTATCACGCACAACGTTTTGTACCTTTTTCATATTTAACTAATGAAAAAAAAAATTTTTTCTAGTGAATTATTTAAATGATGAATTATAAAGAAAAGCTAAAAGAGAAATACGTAAATAGGATAATTAATTTCTTAGAACATAATCAGCATTAGCAAGTATTAGTGTATTTAACATAAGCAATGTTAATAGTACGTATTTAAATTATGTTGTAATTTGTAAATCATAATAAAATTTGTTGTATTGATACATTATCAATTATTATATCAAGTCAATTAATTGACTTTTGCAACGGAAGCGCTTGTTATTTTGTAATATTGTGTTATAGTATATTTAAAAATATATATTTAAGTGTTTAAATATGTATTAGGCATAAAATGCCGCCATTGTGTATTTGCACAAAAAAAAAAAAATAAAAATATGAAATTATGTCAATTTTTATTTTTATCACTTTCTATAAACATGTGTATACACGTTTAATATAATAAATAAATTTTATGCTGGTCTTCCCTCGACTTATAATAATAGATCGGTCTGACAAATAATAATAGATCTGTTAAATTCTCATTAATATTTAAAAAAAATTAATAAATAGTTTTATCTCTACCAATTTGTACGACAAAATATTTGATATTTTTTAAAAATTCTACAAAATACTGAAATTAAGAGACATCTGATAATTTTGAAAATTTGTTCAACTAATAAATTATTGTAAGAAAAATTTCATCTGTTGAAGCTTTAAAAAAATATAAATTTAATTTTTTCAAAATAATTTTCTAGAATTAGTTTATTTTTCAAGAAAAAATAAACAATTTTCAACTGTGCTAACCTGAGTGTTATAATTCTACGAAGTTGAAACATTTGTTAATAATGATTTCTCAAAATCATAAAAATAGAAATTTTTATTTTTTAGACTCATGCAAATTACAAGTAACAACTTTATTAAAAATAATAATAATTTTTATCGTCGAAAATTAAATTTCTCCAAATTTCATAGCTTGACAACTGATTTATATTTACAACTTCAAAAAATTCGTCTATCGATTATTTATTTCGATTCTAAATAAAATTTCACAAAATTAAATTTCATTAACACAAAACTTAAAAGAAAAGATAAGTAAAATTTCTTCATTTCCAACCCAGTCTTGATGCATTTTTCTCACAATATTTTTTGTTGAACTCTGCAAGTAAAGTGGACAATTTTGAATTTTATGACAATGAAATTAGCAGACACTTGACAATTTTTTTTTTTTTTTAAATAAACTAGGTCAAGAAAATTATTTTTAAACAATTGAATTTATAATTTTGCACAACTCATGATGCGAACCATCAGAGATTGCTTTGCGATCGAAAAATTCGTTTTGCCTCGATTTCGCTATTATTTAATTAATTTGCGCATCATTCGATAGATAATTTAATGAAGATTAATTCTTTCACTGGATCATGAACAACCCGCTGTACATCGCAAGAATTGTTGCTCAAACCAGACTGGCAAATAAGCACTATTTTAGATTTAGTTTCAAGCGATTTTATTGTGGTTTAAATCCACAACTCCCCTGTACCCTCTGCAATTTGCATGAAAATGAAGATTTATCTCACATATTTCTCAAATGCCCAGTCTATCATCCATACAAAAAATTTTATTTGGTTCCACTGTTGCCTTCTAACACCTCAGAAGCTGAAGCTGAAGTGTTATACCCTTTCTTCTCAATCACCAGTAACCCGCAACTTGCAAAGCAATCTACCTCTTCCTTTTACGCTCAATGAGACTGCGTAGCTTTTGTCTCAACGAATAAATACACTTAATATTCGCCTTGCAATTTTAATTTATATTTTTAATATTAATCCTACAGCTAGGACGAAGGGATAATGAGAATAAAAGAAGAAGCAAAAAAAGAAGACGAGGAGGCGATAGAGAAATCATCATACTGCAAAATATATAAGAAAATAAAAATAGACAAAGATAAAAATTACTATTGTAGAAAAGATGAAATAAGTGGAGAAGATAAGGAAACATGGGCGAGGGTACGATGTGGGAACATAGGAAGAGGGGGAAAGAAAAGATATAAGGATTGCAGATGCAGAGTATGTGAGGGAGTAGGAGAAACCCTGATGCATATAATGAAATGTGAAGAAATATATGAAAAAGTTGGAGAAGAAGGAAAGAGTTTTTTAAATGATTGGAAAGATTTAGAAAATCTGGGGTCACCAGAACAACGACGTGCAAACAAGAGGAAAAAAAAGAAAAGAAAAGAAAAATAGAAAGATCAAATGGAAAGAGAAATAATATATACAATTAACATACAGAAGCAAAATATGTAAAAACTTTGTAAGAGACGAAAGTTGTGAAAATAAAACTATTTATTATTATTATTATTAATCCTACAGCTATCCTCAGTTACCCCCTGATATAAATTTTTTAAAATTGTTAAATATATTTATTTATTTATTTATTAATTATTATTATTAGCTAGTAAGTTATTGAATTTTATTTAATTCCGCACATATACAAGCGGCCTTACGGTGTTATTATACTTACTTACTTATACTCATTATTGTGCAATGTTTTTTGCTAAGGATACTTATAATACACAGACTGTATCTGTTTAGCCAATGCTATTTTTCGGCATAAGTTGACAAAATATAACTTATTATTCTAAAAATCCCTTTAAATTCTGACATGAGACCCCGGGTTAAAAAATTTAGTCTGTTTTATGATTAATAAAATTTTTTAATATTTTTCATTCAATTTAATTTTATTATGTGTATCTATTTTATATGAGAATTTAATCTGTTTTTGCCCGTATTATTCAGACCAATTCAGACCAATTTCTCATTTTTAATGTTATAATAAAATTGTTTTCTATTGTTTCAAGACCAAAATCAGACTTTTTTCGTCACAATCATTTAGCTGGTTTTGACCGCATCAAGGTCAAAAACAGACCAAAACGTTATATAATTTTTAGTCGGTTTTTCATCGCCTGTAGATAAAAAACCGACCTTTTACGAATTTAATAATAATAATAATATTAATAATAATAAAAATAATAATATATTTATTTAATAGTCATAATAGCTTCTTAGGACCTTCAAACGTGTTGATCTGGTGAGAACTCGATTTTCAAAAACCGGGGTGAGTCCAATAACTTTCCGATTTTTTAAAAATCATTGATTTCCATAGCAGGGTTAGAAAAGTTAAAAAAATCAAAAAGATTCTTATAAGTTGAAAGGAATCAGATTCCTAAGATTCCTAAGATGACGAGATTCAAGACAATAAATTCTGGAAGCGAGACAACCGGTTACAAAATAATTTTTTTCAAAAGAATATTTCTTACTAGATCAGTAATTATTGTTTTGTATAATTTTTTAATCCTTAAATTTGGTTGCAATTTGTTAAGCTTGTCCGCTCGATATGTTACAAAAGTAGGCACTGCTCAGCTGTTTCATTGGCATGCACTGACTAACCGATGTACATTCGTAACAAATAGTATACACCATTGTAAAATATTACAGTAATGATTATCAAAAAAAGAAGAAGGTAAATAGCTATTGTTCGTCAATTTGTGAAATAGTTTTCTGATACTATATTCCGTAGTTATTGACTTTCTGTTTAGATGAGCAAACAGTTGAGCAATATTTTTCATTTTCTATAAAACATAATAATTTTAGATAGGGCGGAAAAACAAAATATCACCTTATTAATGGGCATATCAAGTTATGGCAGGACATTTTAAGCAATATCAAAAATTATAAGTAGACATATCAGGCAATAATACCAGACAATTATTTCACGGAATTTTATACGGTTCTAATGAATTTATATCTTCTTTATTTAAGGAGGTCCTTTCGCCGCCAATGTAAAATAAAAAATATTAGATTATGATTAAATTCAATTTTTTTCTAATAGTTAAGGTCTTTATTTATCTAATAGTGAGGTTTAGATTATACTTTACCGGACAAATTTTTGAAAAAATAAAGTTTTTAAATGTTAGTATTTGTTCAGAGCGTCTTACGAGAAAGTCAGACGTTTGCGGTATTTCTCGAATTATACTATCAGTTATGGATTAGATGAAGTAAAAAAAAACTAAAAATTAGATTTTCGAAATATTCAGGTTTTTTTTTTTTTTGCAATAACATATATCAGTTACCGAGATATTTATTGAGAAATTAATATTTAAAAATCACAAAAAATTCCCAAGTAACCTACGTTAAAATGGAGTCAAAATATTTGGCAACGTTGCGTATCGCAGGAGCTTCAGACCATTCAATAAATTCAAACTAATTTATTTATTTACACTGACTGCAAAAAACTTAAACGTGGTTAAGGTTATATTGTGCAAATGAAAATGTAAACAACCGAAGTACAGCGTTGCCAAATCACGGACAGGTTACTAGCAGTTGATTTGAAAGAGTCAAATTAATTTTTGTATTTAACTATTTTTTTTTTTTTTATTTTCAAAATTTCATGGATTAATGCCTCATATACTATTTATTATTTAATTTTAGGAATTTTTATGGGTTTTTTATTTTAATTTATCGCATATTGACTACTACAATTGTTTTGACTCAACTGGAGCGAAAGGATTTCCTTAATTAGACTAAAAACCGATCAAACTTTTAAAACTTTTTAGTTTCATTAGATTAGAAACAGCATAAAATATTCATAGTTTCTCAATTATTTTACTAAAAGGTTATTTAGACTTAAAACAGATCAAAAATAATTTTAATAGTAGATGAAATACCGATAAAAATGTTTTTTAAAGTTCAAATACAGATTAATAAGTTCAAATGCAGATCATTTAGCTTAAAATCAGTTTAAATTTTTCGACTCGGGACCGGCTACAACAGCTAGATTTATGAAGAACAAATCTACCTAATAATAATATATAACCTTCGGATTTCTGTTGTTTTAAATATTATAAATTATTGGCATTCACAGTGACTAATGGAATAAATTACAAAACAATTATTGAATAAAACAATAAACAGGTTTTAATAATCTATAACTTAATATATTTTATGTTAAATTTAAATTATAAAATCTTATAAAAATCAATTAGCTTTTTCACATCACACATAAACATACATAATTCTTTCGTTATTTTTGCTCACATGAATACAACTCATTTTTTCGTATCATTTTTATTAAAAATAATAAATCTTTTAATTTGCGTCAGTTTAAAAATAATAAACAATTTTCTTCAATAAATTTGCATTGACCTGCAATGTCAACATTCAATATTTATTATATAATGAATCATTATTTATTGATATAAAAAAAATTGTCTAATAAATATTTTAGAAAACACTGTCTAGTGGCAGTGTCTTTACATTATAATTAATATTTAGAGGAATTGCACTAGTTTGTATAAAAAACAAATACCTCAAGTGAAAAGTTGTAAAATTAAAAGAGTAGTCGCTAAGATGAGAGATGATAGAGACACGGTACTTAATGATGATGCGTTAGAGGTATCGTAATAATACTTTTTGTATTGATCATTACAATGCGAAGGCCAGTCCTTTAAACAAGCCGCGTATGCTACCACATGAGCAATGTAATTCTGTTCAAATGTTCCTCGCAAAAGGTGAGAGTATGGGCCTAGAATAAATAGATTATAAGTATTATTTATAATATTATATTAAATGTAGCGCAAAAACTTAATTAGCTAACAGGGATATGCAATTTTAATCTATGGATATTATCAATTAAATTATTTAATATTTATTAGATTTTTATCAGATTGAATTAAAATAAATAAATAATTAATTAAAAAGAGCAATTAGATTAAATTTGAAAAGATTAATATGAATTATAATATTTAGCTCAATATTTTTTAAATAATTTATTTTATTTGCAAAATAGCATAATATCGTTTTAAGTTTAATTTATTTTTGTATTTGATGGCTCAAATCTCAACTCTAATTCACAAAGTCAACTCTGTGAACTCTTTGCAAGTTAAAATTAAAAAAATGGGTATATTTAAGCTTTCTTTATATTGATAATTAATAAAGACTGATAAAAATTAAAAAAAAAAAAAAAAGTAGTTACCAGTAGAATAAACTCCCACATCTTCACCCCCATGTGTTTCATCCTTCAAGTACATTCCAGCCATATGCTGATAAAATGGCAATTCTCTATTTGGATCCAATTCAACAGAAATCCAAGTTTGACTTGAATTAGAGTCATTATTTCTGTGGTAAGCAAAACCGGGCCCGTTGGCGTACGTTAATGTTTCATAGGCTGCTGCATCTGACTCATTACGATTATGAGCGAATCCGAGGATGTCATCCCCTCGCATTGGATATCCATTCATTGTAAATGCATGAGAATGGTCTGCAGTTACAATTATAAGCGTTTCTTCAACTTTGGTTAATTTTAATGCAACATTTACGGCTTCTTCTAGAGCAGTCACTTCACGTAATGCTAATTGAGCGTAGTTTTTATGGTGAGCAGTATCTATTCTTCCACTTTCGACCTAAAAAAATAACAATAAATAGTACACGTTCATAAATTTGTGTTAATAATTACTATCGTTCATTTTTAATGATTACCATCTTAGATTTTAATTTTATTATTTGTTCACATCGATGTTATAAATTAAAATTAGGGATAGTAACTATTACCATCCCTGAATTATATTAATTATCATTTAGGATAGTAATTACTTGCATAAAATATAACAACTATTATTATCACCTCTGACAATATTTACCACCACGAGATAAATAAAATTTGCTTTGTACAAGCATATAAGTAAAATTTTAATTTTGAAAAAAAAGTGTAAAGGTATGAGAAAAATTTTTTTTTCAATAAATCTCTCAAATAACAAACAACCAGGTCAAATTAATAAACTGATAAGTGATAATCTGTCTTAATTTATACCATTTGAATGTAAATCTCACTTGTATCTTATCCCTCACATCTTTAGTTAAACATTTTTAGTTATACACCTTCAGTCAATTTTCATTTATTATAAATATAATTAATTATAATATGATATTATACTTTTTTGGAATACTTGTAAATACTCTAGTATTTTCTTTATATCTTATTATTTTGTTTAATTACTTCTCTTTTGTATAAGCTACCAGTACAGCGCACTTAGTTTTAAGTTATACTTAATAATCTGTATCAACTTATTTAGAGACCCTGTTATTGGCCTTTTGGCTGTTGGGTTGTATAAAAAGAAATAAATAAATAAACGATAGCAGAATCTAGTAGAAATAATTTGTTGTAGTTATTGAAATCATGATTTAATTTTTTCTGCAATAATTAGTTGCTGAAATTTTGATGTTCGGGTATTTTGTTACATATGCACAGAGAAAAATTAATTATACTACCTACTATATAAAAATAGTAACTCCTACTATCTAAAATGGTAATAAAATTAATTAGTAACAAAATAATAGGTGATATCATTGACAATAGTAATAGTTACTATTAATAATGGTAACGATTACTATCAAAAATAATAATTGTAATTATTATAAATTATAACTGTAATCATCTCAGATCGTAAAAATTCTGAAAGAAAAAATAATATAAATTTACTTAATTAAATCCTTTATTTACACCCATATTTTAGCTAATGTACATTTTTTCCTTTGAAATATTAAAATATTTTAAATTCCCTTCAAAATTTTTTTTTGAAAATTTGATTTTTTTGAAGAGTAAAAATTTTTTTTTTTAAATAAAAACTTTTTTTTTTCTATTTAAATTTTATTCAAAATTTTGATTTTTTTGGAAATTTCAAATTTTTTTTCGAAAAATTTGCCGTTGAAACTTGTTTTAGACAAACAAAAATTTAAATATAAATTCTATCCGAATTTGATCCCAATTTTTTGTGGACTACACTGCACTACAACTGCTTTTAGTTTATTCAGAAATGCATCCAGAATAACGCAGATTCTTAATTTTTTAAATACTTTTTACTAGCTTAGATAGTAGTTATTATTATTATTACTGATGGTAACTGTAATCATCAGGTTATATTAGGAATTACGATTTTGATAATAGTAGTAACTAATTAAAATAACAACAGTTATTATTACTGATTACCATCATAATAGTAGTAGTTACCATCAGGATGGTAAATACTACAATTCAGATGGTTTACTTAATTATTTAAATAATATTTACTACTATTGAATTCAGTTAATAGATTTTAACATAACTAGATAATAAACTCTACTATAAAATTTTCTCCGTGTGCAAATGATTACATTGATTTAATTTAAAATTGCATTATTTAATTTGCAAATAATTACAAATATCTAAGTATAATAAAGTGCTTATTATATTTTAAATCTAAGATGATAATAAATATAATTAAATAATAGTAATGGTTATCAGCTTTATTTTCAATCCGCGATGGTAACTTATTATCTCGTATTATGATTATTAACATATTATAACCATTAGAATGATGATGATACTGATTACCATCATGACAGTATTCTGGATTTTAAAATCAAATATTACCATAGATTTTCACTGTACAATGATAATAATAATTATTATTATTATTACTGTTATTAATATAAATAAAAAATTTTGATCTAAATAATAATGATAAAAGTAAAGCTGTTGAGAATACGATGAACGATAAGTTAGGAGATTAAAATTCATTTTTACTCTCTGTATATTCAATCTCAAGCGATATGCAAAGTAATGCAAGTACATCAGTAATGAGCTTCTAAAGTTACGAATAAAATTACACGCTCAAGTGGTAAATGGCCTTGTTAAGTATCCGGTAAACTCTCAAAGTGTCGTTGTGATATTTTGAAATTTATAAATTTATGTCGAGATCCTTCAAGTAGGAAGTTCATTATTCTATATTTATTCTTAACAGTATCCTCGATAATCAGGAATTATATCTTATTTTCTTGTAAATATTATTAAGATTTTCATTCTAGATACTATTTATTTTCCTATTATGCTTTATGGAAAATAATGTTTACTTATTTTTGAATAAATAAATACTTCTTGGTAGAAAAAATTTTAATTGAGTTCTCATAATTATTTTTGAAATATTGTAAATGTTAAGATAAATTATTGAATAATTGTAATCTTGTATAACTAGTTCAATTTAGCAATCAAAGTCTTCATTTAATATTGAGAGATTGATCAATCTTAATTTAAAGCAGATTATTATCCAGAATTTTTTATCATATATTTTACTAAAAAATTATACTGGTATTTAATTTCCTCGATTAAGGAAGTGTCTCACTATCTAGTAAAAATCAATAATTAATTAAATAAAACATTCAATAACCTACTTTTCTTAGAACCAAAATATTTAAGAAATTAATCTATAACTTCCTTTAAATTTTTATTTATATTTATTCTTCTTTTGTCATCCAACTTACTTAAAATTTTATGACACTGATAATTAGAAGACATATCTGACAATTTTTGGAAATTTTTCAAAAAATTCATTATAAAAAAAAAATATTTAAAAAAATTTGCACTTACAACTTTTTTAAATTTTTACATGAGGAATTTCTGACTTGATTTTTTTTCATAATAATTTAATTGTTATAAAAATCTTAAAAATTGTTAGATGTCTGCCAACTGTTTTTATGAAATTTTTTTAACACGTATAAAAAAAATTAATAACAATAATAATAACAATAACATACATACCATTAACAAAAATCCATTTTTATTTTTCTTCAGGATTTTAATAGCTTGCGTTGTCATATTTGCTAGAGTTGGAGTTTCATCTGTCCTTACTCCATGGTAAGGCATATGACTATTAGAAAAAACTCCAAGTAATTTGGTAATGTTGTTAATATCCACTGACATCAAATCGGCGGTATTTTTGACAACTTTGCCTTCTGGGTTGAACTTCTTCCATATTTGCGTTAAATCCTTTCCGTCTTTTCTCGTACAACTCTCTTTATCAATCGAATCTGGCATTGGGGTTCCCATATTTTGGCCACCTCCGCCCAAAATTACCTGTTTCATTATAACAATCATTAATGACATTTATTACTGTAATAATCTTTAAAAAAAAAAAAAAAAAAAAAAATTTTTTTCCAATTTTCTTGAGGCCAGTAAAAAAAGACCTATTTTTTAATCATTCATTGACTTAAGAAAGTTAAAACAGTTAATAAAATATTTTAGTCAAGTGTGACCACATTTATCCGATAAACAAACGTCGAATTTAAGTAATTAAATAAAAGATAAAATCTGTGTATTTTGATTGTTTTATAATGCATCATAATCATTAAAAATAAAATAAAATATTTTATTTATAACTCTTTTGTTATTGTAAAAAATGAATCAGACGTAATCACTGCGATTTGCAAACAAATATTTATATATGGTTTAATTTTTATTTTTTATAATAATAATTAATAAATAAAATACGTCAGGCTCGATGACAACTGAATGTGTCTACTGTTGGTGAATAGCATCATTTAGATCAATAAATGACCGGATACTTAATCTGATACAAGAGTGTCGTGATGTAATATTGTCAATCAACCTTGAACTTTCTTGTCAATTATCGTTTAAGCAACAAAACCTCAAGAAACTTACAAAAATGAGTCTTAAAATTATTTTATATTTTCCACCGATTTAACCTCATGGAAAATATTAATTTATGGATGAAATATATTCAATGTTAACAAAAAGTAAGTTTTCAGTGCATAGTTAAAAGTTTCTTGTCGTTACTTCAAAAAAGATTTGTTTTAAAATTTTTGTGTTAAATATTTGACAATTTTGTCAAATTAATACAGAAAGTGTTAAGTCAGTACAGTAAAGTGTAAAATTTACAATATTGCTATCTTAAACACAAAAATGTTTTGTTTTTATCTTTAATTTCATTGCACAAAGTAAAAAATTGTCAGCAAAATTTACAAATAACTCACCATTTTTTGCCAGTAAAATATTATAATTTTGCAATAATAATTTCATAATTTAATTAATTCATCAATAAAATTTTATATAATTGGGTCAAAAATTTTTTTCTTAGATTTTTATAATTTAAAAAAACTGGTTTTTACATTACTAAATTTTAATAAATTCCACTTTTTTTAAAATCAAATTTTGTTATTTAATAATATATTTCATAAGAATTGCTGTTTTCAATTTTTTCTACTTTGCAATCTTTTCTTATTAATTTATTATAATAAAAAAAAAAAAAAAATTTCCAATACCTTAAATTTATTACCAGGCGCATCTTCGATAAGTTGTCGTGCGATATCTTTGGTACAATCTTTATATATTGTAGGAATAGCGCTATCACATTCCCAGTCTCGGTTATTCACATGAGCGTAAAGTGAAGCTGGAGTAGCGTGAGTGATTCTTGTCGTCGTAACAAAACCTGTCAACATGTCATAAATCATACAATAAACCACAAACAGTTTTGCATAAATCATCAATTTTTATTTACAAATAAAATAATTAAGCTATCAAATTATATAACTGAAATAATAATACTGAAAGTTGCAAAAATCTTAATTTTTTGATTTCATTAAGATAAAAAATAATAATAAGTAGATTTTTTAATAAAAAAAATAGTAAATTTTTATGCCTGTTATTTTTGAACCCTTTGTGAATCTACTATAAAACCAGTCAGGGTAAAATGACGGCCTCGACCTGGCCCTCACGAGAGCTACTACTCCCGATGATTTAATATATTTTCACTGCATAGATAATTTAAACAAGGTCTATTCGCCACTGATTCTTAATTGAACACATGATTAATACCATGACCGTGTGCTGAAACCGTTCGACCATTTTATTTAAATATAAATATCAATAATTAAAAAATTATCATTATAGTTATTAATGCTAGAAAAATAATTTTGTCTCTAAAACCTTGACTGACTTAATTTTTAATTTTTTTATCAAGCAATAAAACGAAATTGCTATGCAGTAAATTGTTATCAGTTGCAATGACATTCATAAATTTGGATTTTTTATAGATTTTTATTTTTAACTCTTTTATAATTCCAGGCACAATTTTTATAGAAAAAAAATTACTTTTAATTTAAAATGAGATTTTTTTTTATTAAAAGTCGAGACAACATGTATGCAAGTTAAACGTCGCTTTATTTCATGTGAAAATATGGTCGCCGTACCGCATTAGCCGCGGGATTATATCACTGAATAAATAATGTGATTGGCAGTGAATTATACCGATTATTATCTCTTATTTTCATAATAATCGCGGTATCATCTAGTTCCACTTGAACTTCACTCGCTTACAATTTAATCTAATTTATCTACATTTTTTTTGTGAAGGTTATTATCTTGTGGAAGTTGTTAAAATTTAATTTATATACAAACAAAAATTATAAAAAAAATAATAATAATTACCTGTATCCATTCCGGTGTCTTGCGCCCAGTCCGCGACGGTCCTAAGTTTCCTCTCGTCGTTCATTGACGGCTCGCAAATGTTATACAAGGCCTTTGGATCTAATCCAATGACCTTATATCTGCTTTTTACTCCGGAAAATATTGCTGTCGCAGTTCCGGCTGAGTCGGGCACCTGTCTGTCTACATTGTACGTCTGCAATTTTGTTATTAACGATTATTTTTATGCCTTTGTGATTATTAAATCCAGCAATTATATTTTTTTAAAAATATAACAATGTTGTTCGTTACAACTATGATATTTTTTAGCGAGCGCAGATTGAAAATAATTACTTTTGAAAATCCAGTGTTGGGAAATTCTTCAAAATTTAGTTTATATTCTTCGCCGCTGAGTCCTTTTTGTTGTCCGGTGAAAATTCGTCCGGCTGTTACTGATGCTAATCCCATTCCGTCTCCAATAAAAATAATAACATTTTTAGCTCGTTGCTCGATATTGTTCACTTCCAACATTTTTTCCAGATATTTTTGACCTTCTTTTGACCAGAATGATGCATCTATTAATTCATTCATTTTATTAGTTTAAAATAATTTGGTGTTTCAATTAAACTCAACACAATCATTTTTAAAAAATTAGTGTCTTTGATTTTAAAACTAATAAGAAATTTTTAATTATTAAATTTTTTGATAATTGTTCAGATATTACTTTTAAAAAATCATATTATTTACATTTTTATAGAAATATTTTTGAAAAATAAATTTTTAACTTTCAAATAAAAGGCATAGTTAAAAAAAATTTTTTTTATGTTTTGTTGATAAATTTTTTAAATTTTCTTCCATTAAATTTGAAAAAATTTGACAAAAAATTCTTAATTGAAATTTATTAAAAAAAAACTACCAAAGAAAAGAATTATACTTTTTTTTTTAATATTGGAAAGCAATTTATGAGTTAATAAAAATTATAACTAATGTTATAAAAAAATAAATTCAACTAATTAAAAAAAAAAATCGATTTATAAAAAGAAAAAAATTTTTAAAATTGTCGATTAATACAGAAAAATCAATAAAATAAATTGTTTTTAGAATTTACCTTCATAATTGACAGATCCTCGATTGAGCGAAAAAACATTCTGAATACTTGCAACCATACAAAGTACTACAATAACACGATCCATATTTCTGAAAAAAAATCAGGTAAAAATAAATAAACTCCACTTTTAATCACGATTCACAATTAAAAATTAATTTACCCGTAGTACCAATCGTATTTTAAATCAATTTAACGATAGAATAATAATGATAACTGATAACAATGAGGTACCGGACGATACTTTTATCACTCGAAGCAAACCGAGAAGTGACTCGTTGAAACTCTCGGCCGTGGCTACTCACTTAGTATTCATAAATAAGCCTTTTATAATATCGCCCCGCTTTGCAGCATGCATCTCGAATATAGGTGCACGAAATTATCACTCTCGCGACTGTTATTGCGGACATTGACGGAAAACTATCAGCAAAAAAATTTAGTGTATCTCCACTTACTTAACGGGCTAATGATTCTTAAGACTAAAAACACTCTCAAGGTTAGAAAATCAGTACATTTTTTATCAACGAAATTTAACACCTGTCTAAACTATAAATATTAATTAATTTTAATGGATTCTTGCAAAAATTCGTCACTCTTTCAATGGAATTGCCTGATTAAATAAATCCGAACCCTCCTAAGTATAGGAAAATTTTTTAATTCAATTTTTTAATATTTTCAATTTAAATTAATTATTGTAATTCTTTTTAATTAAAAGGTTAAATTTTTGAAATTATTCACAGATAAAAAATAACAAAAATCTAACTATTGAAAACTTTCAATAGGAAAAAATTTTTCATGATTTTTATTTGAATGAATCATTAAAAGGAGAGAAAAATAAAATTGTTAATAATTAAAAATTTGCATTGAAAAACCAAAAAAAAAAAAAGAAAATAATTAACAACCCCTTTTCTTCAACAACAGTATTGTAAATTGTGATGAGTATATAACCTGGTGACCGACTTAAAAGCAGACTATCAACACATTTACCAACGTCAGTTACGGTTACGACAAAGGATAGAGTAAAATCAACGGGGGAGAATTTGATTGCTTCCGGCAAAACGATTAAATAGTCCAACTAAATAGCAAGAATAAGTTAATAATTACAATAAGAAATAACTTTGACATAAATAAGACTGGACGGTGATTAATTTTTTTTTTTTAATTAGAAAAGAAAAATCACAATTTAAAAAAAATGAATAATTATTTACTTTACCTAAAAATTAAATAAAGTGAGACCTTGTTCTATTTCGGTAAAAGTTAATTCAAAATAGATCCATCTACACTGGCGCGTAAACTTTACTCGGAGTACAATGTAAAGTTTGTTAAGTGCTGTCGCGCTTTATATAACAACTGGAAGAGCTTTGTAAACTGGTAAAGACCGAGCGGAGATACTTCTGTATGTTGTACAGTGAACATACCACGAGAATTGCACGCGAGATGTATAACACTTCAGCTCTGGAGGTCTAAACACGCCCGAGGGCAACGGGGGTACACGAAGATGAGGGCGAGAGTGAGGATGATCAAGTGCAAGAGACAAGAGACTCCCCTCATTCCCCATCGTTTGTCAAGCTAATCTCGGAGTAATTGCTCTTCTACGGCTCTATATTTTGCACGAAACTATTTTTTATGTACTTACATTAAACTAAATTGTTGTCGCCGTTTTTATTTATATTGATTAATTTATTTATTGTTTCCTACTTTACTAAATGCCTTTGATTTAATTTTTTTTAATCGACCGCATTACTTTAACATCAACAATAATAATAATAATAATTAGGTTTTATTCGTATCACTTTTTACATATAGTGTTTTAAAAATTATATTTATTTGTTTTTATGCTATAAAAAGTTTAACAATAATAATAATTTTATGAAAAAAATATTGCAATAGAATAAGATAAATTAATTTTTTATTTTCAAGCAGTTTTATGAACCGCAATTTTTTTTTGATGATAATTATGATACAAATTCATGCTATAATTTTTTAGAAAAAGTATTCCAAGATTAATAATAATATTTATTTATTTATTTAATTTAATTTCAATGCCAAGGCAGTATAGCCAGATGGCAAACGTATATACAAATATAGTTACAATAAAGTACATGTATGACTAATGAGATATAAAAATTACAAAAATTTTTAGATATTTAGGGATTTTCGTTTTTCTTTAATTTAGAATATAATTATGAAAAATCCAAGAAAAGTGTAATCTAGAGTATAAAATTTTAGCATTAAAAATTTTTAGAAGTTAGAAATTTTAAGAGTTAGTATATTAAGAGATAATAGTTCTAGAAATCTAAAAATTATTTTAATGATAATAATAATTATTGGAATGAAAAAAAAATTTTTTTTTTGACGCTCATAAAAAACTTAAAACTGATAAAATAAGAAGTAACATCTAATAAATTCATCAACTAAAATAAAATATCATGTTAAGATAAATACGAATAATTATTATGATCATCGTTCAAAGTTCTAATGATATCTTCACGATTAATTTAAACGATTTAAGCGATAATAATAATTTATTAAGTGTCAACTATCAGTTAATAGAAATAATACATTGAGTTGATTAAATAAAGGCGTGAGTGTAAATATAAAAATAATAAGCCCAATAATATAAACGTGCTATGCCTCTCTGACGTTATGAGATCGCGAATGTATGATTGGCGAAAAGGATGCCATACCCAGTACACCGCGAAAAACATGCTGAACACGTGCTTCTATAGGAGCTTAGAAGCGTCGAGTAAGTGGTTTATTCTATTCACTTTAATGCGAAACCGTGAATTGAGATAGCAGTTCAACTCGTGTTTTCTTCGAATCGGTAAAATCCAGCTTTGGCACGTGATAACAGGCAGCACGTTTGTAGATAAATACAAACGTGATCATTTTGTGATGATAAGATGTCGTCAATAAAGTCTTTACACATGTTATTAATATTTATGTACATGTATAAAAATTCATTTCTATCTAAATGCCTTCTTGTTTCACCTAGTGGTTAATTATTTCATTTTTATAGTCTTGAACAATTTATTTTCCATTCGAATAAAAAATTCAAGGTAGACAAGTATCTTTATTATATTTTCCTTAGTATCTTTATTTTTTTTTAATTTTTCTAAGTCTAAGTCAATTTTGTGTATTTGGCTGAAATTTTTACATTTACTCTGCATTAGAGATTTTAACGTAGTTGTCATGGTACAATATTATCAAAAAATGTAGCTAAGTAATCCATAATTTCTACGCAAGAATGTACCCGTGGAGACGCAACCCATACAATTGTTTTTGTCCGACTCCGTAGATATATACTTTTTCATAAATTGTTGAACTTTAATCCGTTATTTATAAATAATTAGACGATCAAAAATTTTTTTTTATTTTTTAAACTTACAACAAATACATTAAAAGACTGTCAGTTTTTTGAAAGTTTCTGACAGTTAATTTTTTTTTTTATAACTAAGAAACTGGTACAGAACTGCAGAGAGCGTATGCAATCAATGTTAAATATTTAATTTTTAATTGACTTAATCTCGGGTTATAGGTGGCCAATCGACTTCAAATTTTAAGGGTAATTGTATTATCATGTCCTTAATAAGTATACAAAAATTTATAATTTTCTGACGGTATGCCTTAACCACAACAACTACCTTAACTATTATTGCATTCTTAAGCTCTTATTTACCAAGTTAAAATGAAATAAAATTAATAATTAGACAAAGAAAAGTTTGAGCTCTTCATCAATTTATTCATTTAAATTTTACATAAAAGTTTAATTAAATGTTGTTTATTATGAAGAAAACGTAAATAAATCAAATTACCAATATGTTAAAACAGGTTTTATTTTTTTTGTACATTAAATATGCATCATCAACTTATCATTAATATCTCTAAATCACAACAATTATATTTTTATTGTATATTATTATTTTTTTCTCAAGATTGGAATTATCAATTATAATAATTGGAATAATCAATTTATTCCATAAATCAAGATTTTTATATGTTTTGTGAGAGACTTTTAAAAATTACTCAAATAATTTTTGTAATTATTTAATATCTGCGCTTAGCCAAGTAATATTTCTGTATTTTTCTGAATAAATTCATTGCGTATTTTTGTGTTGATAATTAGGAATAAGCAGTTAGGCATAAAGTGGGAATTGCTAATTTTTTTGTCACACCAAAAAGTTTAAGTATTACATTTTACTGCATGGAAAAAACTAAGTATAATAACGTATGTAAAGAAACGGGTGTTCAAAAAATGTTCGTAATTGTGTTAGAAGCTGCGAACATTTTTTGAACAATTTCTTTTTACACGCACTGAAAAAAAAGTATTTTTATCCAAGTTTTTTTTATATCCAATATACGTTTTCTTAATATAAAAAAACTGGTATTTTTCTCCTGAGAATACCAAATTTTTTTCTGGAGCTAAAACTTTATACTGCGTTACCATAGCAACCGTAGCGGTGGCGCCGCCAATTCTCTGATTTTCCTCCAATTTCACAGTCCTGGCGTGTTTGTTTACATCATTGGAAAGTTGTATAAACTAATTTATTTTTTATTTTTATTAATTTTTACATGTGGAATTTTTTAATTAAATTTTTTTTTGTAATAATTTAATTGCAATAAAATTCTAAAAAAATTTTTAATGTCTGCCAACTTCAGTGTCATTCTTAAATTTAATTATTATAATTTTATTTATTTAATTTTCTTAAATTTAATTATAATTGGTAAAATAATAATTATTAATTTATTAATTATAATAAAAAAGATCCACTGTATCATAAACATTTCGTATGTATCTGTGTCAAGTGAGGTTAAGTCGGCCATATTTTTATTTTGGTATTTTGCTGAGAAGGAAACCGAGTTTTTTAAAAATCACTATACTTATTAGTGTAGGAAAAAAACTTTGGTATTCTCCACACATGTATACCAGTTTCTTTACAGGAGGGAAAAATTTCCTAGGTGGAAAAAAACTTTTTTTTCAGTGCGGGAAATAATAATCAATGGATAATAAACACAATTTTAAACAATAAAATCGTGATTTTAATAAATAATTTGTGACATTTATCATATTCAAATGCTCCATTTCGAAAATTATATTGCAAAAATTACCATTTCAAACAGTAAATAACGGCTATGTAAATGTTAAAAAAGTTAAAATGCCACCCCGGAGTTTGAATTAGTATTTGAAATATAAATCGCGTGCCAAATGCCAAAAGGGCGTATAAAAGTTATTTAGCTTTGCAAAACCAAAAGGGCGCATAATTTTTTTTTTATGCCAATCGTTTGGATAACATGTTCTTAGTTTAAAAATGAAAAGAACATTTACAAAGCCAAAAAGGCGTATATCTCAAGTTATACGCCCTTTTGGCTTTAGAACACTGAAAATTTAGTGATCTAAAATCAAAAGGGCGTATAATTTTTTTTTTTTGGTGCCAATCGTTTCGTAAATATGTTCTAAGCCTAATGAAAAAAAAATTTCCTAAAACCAAAAGGACGTATATCTTAAGATACGCCCTTTTGGCGTTAGTACGTCAAAAATTTTTTTTCTGCAGATCTTTACGTTTCGAGTGATTCTAAACAGAATAGCAAAAAAAAATTTTTTTTATAGGTCATTTGGCATGGAATCCTATCTAACTGCTGTAATACGCCCTTTTGGCATTTGGCGCGCGAAATAGTTAACAAGAATCTGAGGATATTTTATCATTTTTTTTCCGTGTGTTAAAAATATTGCCATAGCAAATAGTAATGTCATGATTTGTGGGGTCAACGCTTTTTCAGATTTTTTTATCTACTGTGCTCGATTATTTAGATACCTAATCATAACTTTGTTGCACCTATATGAATTTTAACTATACTTCCATGCGAATTTTAATTAATTTATAATTATTAATAAAATATTTTAAAACAAGCTATTATTTTTTATGAAGATAAAAATGATGGGCCAATTCTGAATTAACGATAAAAAAATAAAATGTGATAAAAAATAACTGTTTGATGATGAATGAGATGTTAAGTTGCAAATTTTTTTATAGAAAATTAAAAAAATTATTCAAAAAATAAAAATCAAAGAGGACCTAACAAAAAAATGATTGAATTTTAAGGGACCTAACGGGGATCTATAAATTAAGATCATTTCAATTCCGTAATTCCATGACATTAAAGTTAGCAGTCACTAGAAAATTTTTTAATTTTTTTTAACAAACAAATTTGTTCAAAAAAATTACTTTTAAAAAATTGCATATTTTATTTTTAAAAATTTTAAAATGTCAATTTTTTTTTCTTATTTTTTTTGTCATAATTTATTTGTTAACAAAAGTTCTAAAAATTATTAAATATCTGCTAAATTAATTTTCATCGTAATTCCTCAAATGAGGTGCTAAATTTGCATGGGTCTCCAATTGTTTGTAAGCCAAACAAACATTTATCGTCAAAATAGAGCCATGTGTTAGAACAACTGATGATCAAACCTACAATTGATTGCTTAAAAGTCGATAAAGACACAATCCTACTAATAAAAACAAATTATCCACTGAATAATCTTGTTGTTAAGTTTAAATT